TTTTAGGGATGATGAAAAGACATAATATTAGGGTATTGTTCATACCCAACTTATGGGTCATAAACAGTTTGAGTAATTTTACTATTGACTTAGATTCATATCCAACTTTTTTTTATGAGCAATAAAAAATTCTATTAACCTCATAGTGGGACTCAAATATAGTGGGAACTCAATTTGAGTCCCACTTTTCTTAGTATGTTACAACTGTCATTTTATAATATCCAAAATTTTAATTTGGGTCTGAATTGGATTCATAGTACTAAGTACCTAAGAAAGTGAATACTCGATTCGAGTACACGTTTTGCTTTATTTTTTTGGGTAATGTCTATTTTGTATCCAAACGTTTTTCAGATTCTTTTATATTATCCAAACCTATTAAAATGTTATTAATTAGCCAAATCTTTCGTAATGCGTCAAAATATTAGCCATTTTTATGTTATCATTAATAATTTTGTAACTATTTTCTTAGTTAAAATACAAAAAATTTGGAATGTTGACCTTCATGTGTTTCTTCCAAGTCATTATTATGTTGCCAAGTCCATATTACTAGCAAATAAATAGTCATTACCCTTATATTGTGTGACAAAATAAACATAAAGATAGAAACAACAACTTTAAAGGTGTAACTGGATTGAATTATCTTTTTGATTGTGTAATCATACGGACCCAAATAGACCCTTTTGGATCCCAAATCAACAGAAAAGGTTATCCATGGCCAAGGAGCCCAACCCACGAACAAAAAGGCCGAAGTTCCCAACCTCCATCCTACTGCAGCTTGAGCCTTAACCTTCTTCAAGAAGTTTACATAGTCTACAAGGACTAGGAAACCCTTTCCTAATCAATTTAGGAGATTTCTAGCTGAGTTCTATGCCTATAAATAGCGGGGATGGCTCATTAGTTCATTAAGGCTGCACAAACAAACACAAAATTATGTACTATGCTCGAGTAAAAGCTTAGTTTTCATATGAGAGTCTGTAGCTAAGGAGATGTTTTCATCATCGATGGTGGTACCTTCCTTCTCTTCTATGTAGCTAGTTCGAAATTGATTGCATGAGGATGTCGACTCATTTATCTTTATGTGAATGCATCCTATGATTTTATGTCATGCTTTTGTTTATCTTTATGAATTTGATGCTTATTGTGTATGCATGGATGCCTAGTTTTCGATGCCTATGTGATGGTCATTATAGTTTATCTAGTTTCACTCTTCTTTATCGCAGATGCTTATGATTCCACGGTATGCTACTATATGTATTGTGCTTAGTATTATCTAGGTTGTCAAGAAATTATCATCTAGTGATATCCCATTGATGCTTCACGAGTATAGATGCCCCCACTTAATCATGTGCTATCCTAACTTCCTTGTTCTTCATTAATTAGGTAATAACATGAAGCAAAAGCATGTATTAGCTAGTTAAATCTATATCGCAAGATGAACATGCACAGTTATAGAGTGGCCTTATTGGAAGAGATAGAATGATACCATAGATGACTCATCGATGCATGATATGAATGAGCCCCTTGTATGCATGAAGTCTTCGAAGCTTACCTTCTTATAAAATAACATTACTTTACTTTTATAAATAAATAAAAACCTAAACAACTTTACTATTCTTGCTTGTTTGTTTATCAAAAGAAAAAACCTAAATGCTTCTTTGGTTTTTGTGTGAGTTAATGATGGTTTGGTGTGAGTATTTATGCATTAGAAGACCTTATAAAATACGACCCTCGGATAATCTAGGATTATCACACGATATAACATCAAGTTTTGGGCCCTTACCGATCACTCTTCCTGTATGTTGATCCTGCAAAATACATCCAGTTGAGTTAAACGTGACATTCAAGCCCTTTTCTGCCAACTGTCCTACCAACATTAAACTTGGAACAAGTCCAGGGACGTAAAGTGTGTTGGATAGAGTAACATCCCTAGATGGTTGTTCTTGAACCTCAAACTGCAAGTTGTGCACCTTTGCTACTTGTAACATAATAGAAGGTGTAGACTATAACATGCCAAACTTATCCTATGTACCTATCATGTGATTAAAAGCCGTCGAATCAAGTAATCGACGCTGTGAATAACTGGTCATTTTTAGTATTTGCCTTGTTTGGTGACTAATTATCATACTCCTTTAGTTATGTAAAACATACTAGGTAATATATTAATGAAAGGATAAAAAAATATTGTATGTATATATTAAGTGATATTCGAAAGAATAAAATCCAATTGAATACATAAATGATTTAAATTTACTACTCGAAAGTCGAACCTACTATAGACACGAAAGTAAATATAAACTGGAATAGTTAAGGTTGTGTACGTAAGCTATATCTCACCAATTGTCCTAAATCCGAGTTGTTTCTATCTCTAGTTTATATATCATGGAATGGAACAAAAGTACAAAACAACTCAATAAAACAAGAAATACATTCTTCAGTACATAACCAAAAAGGAGAATACGACCCTAGGATATATAACATCAAGTTTTTGGCCCTTACCGATCACTCTTCCTATATGTTGATCCTGCACAATACATCCAGTTGAGTTAAACGTGACATTCAAGCCTTTTTCTGCAAACTGTCCTACCGGCATTAAACTTGGAACAAGTCCAGGGACGTAAAGTGTGTTGGATAGAGTAACATCCCTAGATGGTTGTTCTTGAACCTCAAACTGGAAGTTGTGCACCATTCGCTACTTGTAACATAATAGAAGGTGTAGACTATAATCTACCGAACTTATCCTATGTACCTATCATGTGATTAAAAGCCGTCGATTCAAGTAATCAACGCTGTGAATGACCTAAGGTTCCTCCATTCAAGAAAGCCGAGTTTAGATCAACTTGAAGGCTTCTTTTAAGGCCTCTTGAACTAGGCAGAGAATGACATCACTAGAAACTTGCCATGTCATATTTGTCGGTCAACTATTAGGCCTAGCTGCTTTAGGCCCTGGGATAGTGGAATTTTCAACCACACCATAAATTGATCCTGCATTAGTCACTCCAACGAGAGCATTGCATGCGGCAGACCCTGGACAAATTCCTTCACTTTTCACTAGCCTCTTAAATTCAAGAATTATATGCTAGTTCGTTTACATTATATGCAAATATTCTTATTTTCACATTGAGGTTGGATGTGCCCAAATTCATGGCAAAAGTGACATGTAAGAAAACTTGTACCTTGACACTGAAACTGCGAGCGATTTGAGCCACTCTTCCTAACAGCAAAGACACACTTGGTTTGTGGCAGCTGATTGTCGATCTGAGCCTAACTTTCGAGCGAGTTCCTTCCCTGATCACCTCTCAAAGAATTTCATCAAAGCTTGTCAACCTGCGATGGATTAGAGATGCACGTACCCCAGACTCGGGTTTCAGCTTCATAATCAAATGCATTAGCCTGGAGCAGCAACCCTCCTTCATGACTTCGACAATAGTTGCTTTCGAGCTAGAGGAGCCATGAGTATATCGTACTTGCTCCATAAATGGATGCAAGCTTGATAATACCCTAAGATTTCTCTATCTCCTTGGATGTTCTTCGCCATATCATATTCCATATCAAATTGATGGGCGGTATTTGTTTGAGCATATTTCATGCACACATGTTTCCACATCTCATGAGTGGTCGTGAACTGATGCAGACCCAAAGCTGTAGGAACATCGACTAAAGCCACCAACCATGAAATAACCTGGGCGTTTTTGGTACCAAGAAGAATCGACATTAGTCATTTTCCCTCAACAAAGTTGCGGAATTGAAACTCCCACAATGAGAAATTCTTTCCATCGAACTTTGTAGCAACCACATTATCAAATCACTTAGAATCCATTGCAATAACCTAAAAAGCCTAATTGTGTTTGAGGGTAGCAAATTTGATTGTGCGAGCGAGGGATGAGGGCGAGAACGACGTTGCTGCCTTCCACGAACAAACTTGCCTAGGGTTTAGGAACCAACCTCTGATACTATGTCAAGAACCTACTATCAAACGTAAATGTAGAGAACACAAAGGCTTTTTTAACGTGGTATCATCAATGAGGCACTAGTCCACAGAGAGTATCTCCCTTTTAGATTTTACTATTTTTTTTTTCTTAATCTCTTATGTACAGTTTGGCCACTATAGTACAAAATGGTCCATATATTTTAACATTTTTTTTTACCAATCCTCTTTTTTTCATTTTACCTTATTTTTTTTTAACTAGACAAATACTATAAAGTATCATTTCAAAGTATAGAAGGAAGAATAGAAAAATGTAAAAACTATAAATGCAAAGTATACAAAAAATAGAATAATAGTGTACAGAAATAATAGATGTTATAAAATCATAATATATAAGTGTACAAATCATATCATAAAAAATATACAAACTAATATTACAAGGTATACAAATCAAATCGTGAAAATATACAATACAATAAAACAAACCATACAAACTTACAAACAAATTTATTAAAAATAATACTAACCATACAAACTATATAAATCAAACTTACAAACTATATAAACAATACAAACTAGACTGACAAACATTACCAAGTTGTTGTCACCGCCGCCAAAAAATCTACTGACGTCTTCTCTCTCTCCTCCTCTACCACCGACTCTCTCTCTCTCTCTCTCTCTCTCTCTCTCCATATAAAGGAATTTCGTCCTAGAAACCTCCAGGTGCTTTTTTTAGTCATATAAACATTGCAAATATTACAAAAGAAACCAACAAACATTACAAAGCATATTACAAAAGAAATCGACTAACATTATTACAGAGCACAAAAACATTACAAAAGAAACCGACAAACGTTACAAAGTCGTTGGGAGGGAGGAATGCCGGGAGGGAAAAAATTCCAATAGATCCCACTTTATTTTTATATTATTTTAATTGATAAATAAAAAAATCATGCAATTACCATCTTACCCTTCATTAAATGAGACTAATGTGAGCCATTAGATTAAAATTTAAACAGATGGTTGGGATGGACTAGTGTATAAGAGTTTTACGAATAGTAACTTTTATATATGGATAGAATAGTAACTTGTATTATTATGAAACCTAAAAAAGTTTATATTGATTTTAAGAATAGTAACTTGTATTGTTATGAAAAAATATATATTGATTTTAGGACATGGACAATAAATAAGTAATAGTATAGAACGACAAATAAATACTAAAAGCTATACTATAAGAATAAGAAAATATAATAATATTCTTAATTTATCTCTACCATCATCGAAGTTGGGGTCGTTTGGATGAGTTGTTGTGTAACGAGTTAATATAAATGTGGAATTTCTCACAAAATGAGAATGTAGTATTTGTGAGTTATTTCACAATAACTACCCCTATGAGGTATTGACAATAACTCATTAATGAGTTATTTCAAATTAACTCAAGTACAAAAAACCCATCACCAACTTTTGTAAACAAATGGGTTATTTGCACCCAAATAACTCAAAATGAACAATAAATGAGTTATTTGACTCTATAAATACCACATTGACAATTAACCCATCCAAACGACCCTAAGATACCCTTTGTTAATTACCTTATCCTATCCCATTTAGGGGTGTTCAAACGGATTGGTTACCGTGGTAACCATATTAACCGGTAGCATTTGGTTTGGTTAAACAATTTAGCTTATTTGGTTTAGGTGGTTTGGTGTGGTTTCAAAACTGCTAACCAATAAAACCAATTAACCAATTAATGATATACCTAATATACAAAATTATTTATACTTTCATGCAACCAACCAAACCAAACTTTCGGGATTCCGTATTTTATGTCCATCTCCACAACAAACCAAAATATTATGGGTTAAAAATTAAATTGGTATGCCTATTTACTAAACCAAAACATTGTGGACAACTACTAGACTTTAGGATTACGTAAAATACCATGACAGTCACCTCAAACTATATATAGTTTAAGTGTTTTGTAGGAGAGCTTTAACTTCCTATTGAGTGGTATTTGTATGTATTTAATATTTATGTTAAGAGTTTGTTGTAAGCTAACTATATTAGGTGCAGAGATGATGAATGATGTATTAACTCGAATGATGATGATAATCATGGATGGTGAGTCTTATTATTATTGCTTATATATAATGATAGTTTATGATAGTAACAACATATGATTATTATTTATTCATAAAAACGATAATTGTTTTCATATTAAATGAAATTTAGACGGCTTGTTTAAGACATTTTATTCCATATTGAATGAAATTTAGCCTTAATTAATTTGATTATTACCACAATAACAATTTTAACATGAATGACTAAGGCCATGCAGATAGACATCGTTCCACTCCCACCGGCAAAACTTTCATGTGCAATAGTGCTGCAGCGACTTTCTTTTCCATCCAATTCCAAAGTATCGATCGACTTTAGTAAGTTGAGGTACTTGAAAATGATTCAGTTTGAAGTCGAGGTACCCAATCAAGAAAAACATGAGATTTTTGGGCACTTAATAGATCTTTCTATGATCAGCCTGAAAAGTGAAAACTGAAAAGAAGAGATAAGCATAAGCACGTGGGCACAGGTCAAAGCGGACGCTAGGACGCGGTAGCGTAAGGAAAAGAACCACATTACCACACAATACAACAGTACAAAAAGCCCCAATAACTCTCTAAAAAAGTTGATTTGTCAAAAAAAAAAAACTCTCTAAAAAAGCCCCAATATTATAGGGGTGGGCATTAGGTTCTGTTTTACCGAACCGAACCGAATCGAACCGAACAAAAACCGACCGAAACCGAGATACATAAAATTAGGTTCGAAATTCGGAAATGAATGTAGTGTATTTCGGAAACCAGACGTGTTTGAACCGAACCGAAATAACCGACCGAATTCCGAAATAATAACCAGCCCAACCCACTAGCTACTAGCCCACTACCCATGCCCACTGGCCCAGCACCTCCCCAGCCCAATACTTGGCCCATCCCACAATTGAATTGGGCCTCTGGCCTCACGTCCTCAGCCTGCCGAGTGCCGGCCTGCCCTCTAACCCTAGGTCAGGAGATTGAGTGATTGACTCCTCGTCTCCACTCTCCTCCTCGCAGCCGCAGACCTCGCCCTCCCCTCGGAATCGCGAACTCGAAGCAGCAGCTCTGCTCGGAAGTCGGAACTCGACAGGCGGCGACTCGCGACTCCTCCTCCTCCAGTCCTCCTCGACACTCGACAGGCGGCGACTCGCCGACTCCTCCTCCTCGGCAGGCGGCGACTCCTCCTCGACATCACCGCGTATTTCGCCGCCGCCGACAACTGCTCCGCCCTCGTCGCCCTCCCTTCCGATGCGCTTCTGAACAGAAGGAAGTCCCTCAACTTCCACTTCTTGTACCGCCCTTTCGACGAAAACGAGTCCGAAGTCCAGAATCCAAAACCAATCGACATGACTGCCTCCACCAGTTCGTTTTGATCATCCGAACCGAACCGAGTTGTAATTCGGTTCGGTCGAATCGAATTACAACTCGGTTCGAATTCGGTCGGCGTGTTGAGCATCTCGGAAATTCGGCCTGTGGTGGTTCGGTTCGGTTCAAACCGAACCGACCGAACGCCCACCCCTACCCAATAACAACGGGACCGCATCAACGTCCCTTCTTTTTTTGTTTTTCTTTTTAAATTATTAATTACATGTATTTTTTGGTACAATATTAATTTAAATTTAAATGGGCTCTGTAATGTATGGGATGGGAATGGAGCAGGAGGAGATCTCTCTTTCTCTTTGACAAATGACAACCGTAGCAGCAACTGCAAGCAAGGATCCTCGATGTCAGAAAGATAAAGTTGCTTTGTTCAGTCAGTCCACTTGCATTGCATACAGCCGCACTCAGTCGTTCATTGTCAATTTGTCATTACTCATTGCCACTGCCACCCACTACTTGGTGAAAACGGAATTGGAATTGGAGCAGCTAAGCCTGAAGCTAGTCTTCCATTCTAGGCCTAGCCCAAATCTAAATCCAAGCCCATACAACGATGCAATCCACCAAAGTTGAGGTGGTCCGTTTATCCAGTTTTGAAAGCTGCTCTTCGTCTGGTCCCATTTGGCCCATTCTCAAGCCTAGTGGCCAGAAATTCGAACGGTGGAGCTTAAAATATATACTTAGAGAATTTGAATTAGGGGCTAAAGTCTTACCCACTACTAGATTTTCCAAATTCATTACTTTGTAAGTAAATTTACATGGTTTTGAGAGTTAGAGGGCTACACCCTCCCTTGCCATCAATCGTGTGGTCCTTGTGTTGTTGACTCTTGCAAATCCTTGCTTGACTAGGATTGCTATGTATCACTACAACTGATGCAGTTCTGTTGCTTCTTTGTTGATCATCCGATAGGTGTGATATGGATGCAGACTTTGGAGTGTGGGTCTAGGAGTTCAAAACGGACTAGCGAGCAATCATATCCTGATGTCCCTCCGGTGGCAGTGGCAGTGGAAGCGGAGGAGGGGGATTGAAGTGCAGCAGGGCGAGGTCGCAGGGAGGGATTCCTTTGTTGTTTTTTCACAATTCCTGTAAATTTACGTTCTAATTGTATTTTTTGCAATAATTTTTAAAATGATTAAAAGAATCCAACGGAGGAGGGGGATTGTTTTGTTTCATCCTTTTAGGCTTTTATACAATGTACATTTTTGTTTTCTTATTCTCAACATGAATAACTGGTCATTTTTAGTATTTTTCTAATTTTAGTGACTAATTATCGTACTCTTCTAGTTATCCAAAACATACTATGTAACATATTAATTAAAAAATAAAAAATTATTGTACGTATTATTAAATGATATTCGAAAGAATAAAATCTAATTAAATATAAACCGAAATAGTTAAGGTTGTGTAAGCTATATCTCACCATTTGTCCTAAATCCGAGTTGGTGCTATCTCTAATTCATATATTTTGGAATGGAACAAAAGTACAAAACAACTCAATAAAACGAGAAATACATTCTTCAGTACATAACCAAAAAAGAGAATACACTTAGATTCCCATTTACAAATAAAATCCATTCCCCAAAGTTCCACATTCCCCATTTTCCCCCTAATTCCTAACTCAAAAACATACTACTATGAAGTCTTTCTTTACACATTTAAAGCAGATCACTTTATATAGTTGCTGCTACTACATTATCTACAACAAATGGAAGACCTCTTCTGAATTTACTCTCCTTCAAGAACTGTCTCTTCTCTCTTTCAACTTCTTCATCTTGATTGGAAGTTGAGTGTCTTGATGCAATAAGCATAGACAAAGGCAAAGAAGGAAGTGATGCCAACCAGGACAATAGCAACAGGAGCCATGAAGTTCGGGTCATAGCCGAAATGGTTCTCCACATACCACTTGATTGTAGGGTCAGGCGACATTCCAGGCACGGTAATGGTGTCCTCAACATCTCCATACTGCGACAGGATCAATCCGTACACTGTCCATGCCACGGGGCAGATCCAGTAGTACCATACCCACCACTTTGGGATCCTCGGCCTTGGGATGAAGAAGCCAGAGAAGAGGTTGAATAGCGCGTAGAATGTCGCTGCAAAGATGGCTGCCACTTGATGGTTTGGTGTCACTGAGACAGTCATCATACCGTAGTAAGTGAAGTAGAGGAATGAGAAGAAGCTGATGAAGAAGAACCACGCGAACTTCGCTGCTGTCCATTGGAATGACATCATTGCATACACAATGAGTGTGTAGTATGTTGTTTGAACAAAAACATATGGTATCTCAGACACAACCTGCCACAAGAAGAAATCAATACGAACTCTCAGTAACTGCGAGCTATATCGATCAATGGAGGCGTTGTTAATATGTTTAAATGGAATTGCAAATTCACCTGTGATAGTGCATATGGCAATTCTGAGTACATTCCGGCTGCTCTTTCTCGATAAAACACAGTCCTCTCCACTGCTACGATAGGCTGCACCGACGAGCAGTTGTTGATTCCGATGAACAAGACAGAAGCATACATAGCTCCAATGACCATGGTGAGATCACTGCTGCTATCCTTCTTGGTGCCAACTTTCCAGAAGATAGTCCCAACCATAAGTGCAGCAGCCAATGTGAAGAAGAATCTGACAAGGTTATAATCAGGGCTTCTCCAATATGTCCACCATTGTTTCCACAGGCAAGACTTGAATTGTCCCCATGTGGGTTGAGAGAATTGAGTTGCAAAGTAAAGATCTTTCGCTCCTTGTGGAGGCATGCTCAACTCCTTCACTAATGCCTTGTTCCTCCTGCATAGCGAATTGAAGTTAGGATTCACGTCTAAAGCATGTGGAAAATGAGGGAAAGTTTGTATGGCTTGAGCAACTTACTGGGCCAATGATGATTGTTTGTAATGCTCAGCAAAGTCCATTCCAAGGCGAACCTCGGCTGATATTGAGCTGACTTCAAGCATCCAAGTGGCTGGATTGTACATGTCTTTGATTTTAGGGACTCCGGGAATCGACTGCAATAGAAGTGTGAACATTAACCTCAAAATAAAAGCTCAAATAAATGTGATGAAGAAAGTAAAAAAGAGTATTGCGTACCTCAAAGTACTCAACAATCTTGTGGGAGTTTCGGCCTAATGGTCCTGCGTAGATCACTTGTCCTCCTCTCTTCATCAACAACAACTCGTCGAAAGCTTCGAAGATGTCAATGCTAGGCTGGTGAATGGTGCAAACAACTGTTCTCCCAGTGTCCACAGTGTTTCTAACGGTTCTCATGACAATAGCAGCAGCTCTTGCATCAAGACCAGATGTTGGTTCATCCATGAAAATGATTGAAGGATTGGCAACAAGCTCCACTGCAATTGTCAGCCTCTTCCTTTGTTCAGTCGATAAACCAGAAACCCCCGGAAGCCCGACAATGGCATCTTTCAGACTCTCCAGCTCCACCAATTCCATCACCTCATCAACAAATTTCTGAGCACAATGAACAAAACATCCATTTCAGCACTGAGAATTCTTTTCTAATCTCATTGTTTCAATGGAGACGTGATAGTAGAGGTTATCAGGACTTACCATCTTTTCCTCTTTGCTGACTTCCTTAGGCAACCTAAGAAAAGCGGAGAAGATCAAGGATTCTCTAATGGTCACTTGAGGAGAATGGATATCTGTCTGCTCACAGTATCCTGAAATTCTTGCAAAAGTTTCTTGCTTCTTAGGGAACCCTGAAATTCTGATGTCACCTTCAATATATCCGCCTGTCTTTCTCCCTGCCAGAACATCCATCAACGTCGTCTTTCCAGCACCACTAACTCCCATCAGTGCCGTGAGGACTCCAGGACGGAACGAGCCTGTTACCTCACGTAGCAATTGAAGCCTGTCCTCTGCCACTCCTTGCTCCTTCATTTCCTATTTATATCCAAAACCAAAGTTTATAAGCCAATTGCTTGCTTCTCAAGGAATCTTTTACTAAAAGATGGAGATTTTCAACTTACTGGTGGCATGTCTACATAGTAGTTGACACTGTCGAACGACATGGCCAGAGGAGTGAAAGGAAGGACCATTCCTCTCTTGGCAGAAACACCACTGGCTGTATCTAGAGCTGAGGAATCACCATTTATCGAGCCGTTTCGATTGTTGGCATGGCTTCCCATCCTCATCGTTGCCATTTCTCCTGAAAAATCACATTCCCCATCAATCCCAATATTGAAATTTCATCACTTACTTGAGTTGTTTCAACTCTTTTCTTTTTTGTCACTTACTCGAGTTGTTTCCATCGGCACTAGACAATGATCTAGACAATGCATCTTTGTCTGACTCCAACCTCAAGAGCCTTGGAGTTCGCTTGGAGTCACCCTCCATTTCCCTTGCAGTTTCCTCTGAGATCACTGCTTGTGGTTTCCCAGGAGCTGTAGTAAGTTCAAGACAGGGACTAAACATCAGCTTAAGTTCCAAAGGAAAAGAACAGAAACCGAAGGGAAAAGAGCAAATCGATGGTGCTGAGAGAACTTACGACTAAAGTACATCAAGGCAAATGTGAAGAGGACATTGGTCAGGACTGCAAATCCTAAAAGAGCAGCTGTTCCAATCCAGTACCAGTTCTTGTTCGTTGGAATGTCGAAATTTTCAAGCACTTGTATGCCTAAGCTGGTGACGTTATTTGATGCCTGTAGCCACAAAACAAAAACCTCTTAGTTACTATTTGTCAAAGCCAAACCAAACCCCATAGAAACAGTCTTACAAGCAACATACCAATCGGTTCATCCACCTTGGAGCAGTCATTTCATTCACGGCCAATGCATTGTATCCATATGACAATGGTGAGACCCAGTGAGCCCACTCCCACCATACCGGAATTTGTCCTATGGAATTATCAAAAGATTAATGTTAGTACTGCATTGTTATCATTTACATCAAACAAAGAAAAGTGAGTGATTTCAGATGCGAGAAGGTATCCAAACCTTTCGGCAGAAGAAAGCCTCCAAGCAAGAAGATAAGCAAAAGAGTTAGAGCTCCTCCAGTGTTGGCAATGATAAATGTCCTGCATACTCCTGCAATGAGCCTAAATGTGCCAGCAGCCATTTGTTGGATCAGAAAAATCACCAGAAACTGCTTGAAGAACCTGCCAATGCCAACAATCATTGTAACATTAGAAACCATTTCGCCTTCCCCTCATTTTCCTTTCAAAAAACTCATGAGAGATTGCATCTTTTTTTTTTTTTTTTCAATTTCCCCCACTTACCGACTAGCTTCAGGAGCATATCCAATGGTGTAATAAGTCACAACCATCCAGACCGTGGACTCCAAGAGCGAAGCAGGCACCCCGAGCAAGAACGTGGGCAAGGTAAACGTCCACGCGGGCTGGAACAACAGATCCCTCTGCTTGTAGAACACAGGAAGCCTCTTGATCATGAGGGACAGCTCAGCGAAGCCATTGAACATGTTGTGAATCATGGCGAAAATCAATGCGCCAATGTATGCAGCTCCATCGTCCTCGTTCCTTTGGTGCATCCTGGTCCTAAGGAAGACGGTGGATGCAATCAGAGCGACGACGATCATCTGGATGGTCTTGGAGATGTAGACCACCGAGTTCCTCTGCATCAGCAGCCACTCCTTGTCCCAGCTAGCCTTTAGCAGGTCCAACTTTGGGACGGTGTACTTC